GGAGGATTAGCAGCCTAAGCCACCACACTGGCCCTATTTCCTGATAGAACTTAGGTTCCTGATGTGAGATTAGGCTTTTCTAAAACAAGCATTTAATGCTGCACATTTCCTTCTAGCCACTGATGTAGCTATACCGCATATATGAAAATTTCAAAACTAAGCAAAAATGAAATGTGATTCTCTTTGTCTTAATGTTTTGTCTGTAGAATATTTAGGGAAGTGTTGTTTAGTTTGTAACTATAGGCTTTTTTCCCTTAGTATCTACAGTTGATTTCTCATGTAACTACCTTATCGTCAGAAGATTGAGAATTGAATAATGAAATGCTTTCAACTCTTATTTTTACCAATTCCCAAAATCACCTCAGATATTTTGATTTGGTGAATATCATAATACTGTATTACCCAGAGAAGCATATTGAAGTGTCCAACTCAAGAGTGTTGTTGTTTCTGTCTGGTTTGCTTCCTGTGTTTTGAGGGCCCTGTGTTAGATGTATGCATGTTCAGTACCGTATTTTCTTGGTGAATTGCTTCTTTTATCATTATGTGCTCTAGTTTTTCAAGTTCTGAAGTCAGAAATATCTGCTGCCTACTGGCATTCATTTGATGAGTGTTTACATGGTATCTCTCTCTCTCTCTTTTTTTAAGATTTTATTTTTATTTAAAAGGTGGAGTTAAACAGAAAGGAGAAACAGCTTTTCCATGTGCTGGTTTACTCTCCACATAGCTGCAAAGGCTGGAGCTGAGCTGATCTGAGGCCAGGAATCTGGAGCTTCCTCTGGGTCTCCCAGTTGGTTGCAGGGGCCCAAGGATTTGAGCCATCCTCTGCTATTCTCCCAGTTCATAAATAGGGAGCTGGCTCAGAAATGGACCAGGCAGGATTGGAACCGATGCCCACATGGCATGCTGGCACTGCAGGTGGAAGCTTAGCCTAATACATCATGGCGCTGGTCTCATATATCTTTCCTATTACTTTATTTTTGGGGTACTTTTATTTGTAGCTGATTTCTTGTTGATAGTATATACTTGGATTATGTCACATTATCCATTTGGACAGTGCTTTGTTGATAAATTCAGTTATTTCAATATAGATTTTAATGTTGGTTGGCATCAAGGTGGCATCTTAAACCACTGAGCCACAATGCCAGCTCCAACTTTCTTCTTAAGATAGTTTTGGACATTTGTCGTCCTTTGTGAGTTCCTGTGAATGTAAGGATTGTTTTTTCTTTTTGTGTAAAAAAAAATGCCATTACAGATGGATAGAGATTGTCTCGATTGTATTTTTGCCTGTTTAGGGACATTTAAAAATATTGCTTTCTAATCTGTGAACACCGATGTCTTTCCATTTATTTGTTCTCTTAATTTGTTTCATCCACATTTTACAGTTTTGAGTGTGGCTTTTACCTCCGTGCTGAAGTTTATTCCCAAGTATTTTATTCTTTTGATACTATTGTAAATGAGATTATTTTCTTTTCCTGTGGTTCATATTTAGGATAGAGAAATGCAGTTGATTCACCTGTTGATTTTGTGTCACGCAAGTTTTTTGAATGTATTCTGTTTTTATAGCATCTTTAGATTTTCTGTGTCTCTGCAAATAGATGATTTTACTTTTTCCTTTCCAAGTTGAATCCTGTTTCCCCACCTTTCCTGCTGGTCCTCAGTGCAACTCCTGGTACTAACTATGAGCAGGAGTGGTGAGAACAGGTGTCCTTCATTTGTTCCTGATCGTACAGGAAAAGCTTCCAGTTTTCACCACAGAGTATAATATTTGCTATGGGCATTTATTTATGGTCTCTGTTACATCAAATAATTTTTATTCCTGGTGTGTTGAGGGGTTTTATTGTAAAACGGTGTTGAGTTTCATCACGTCTGTGCCTGAGTCCACTGAAATGATTCTGTGATTTTTTTGAATCCTTTCTGTCAATGTCCTGTGTTACATTGAGTGATGTAACATCCTTGTACCCCAGGGGTGCGTTCTGTGTGATCATGGTGCATGATCCTTTTAATATGCTTTGAAATTGATCTGTTGAATATTTTTCAGTGATATTGTCGTATAGGTTTCTTTCCTTTTTTTGTCTGGCTTATATATAGACAATGCTGATCTCAGAAAATAGGTTGAGAAGTACTTCCTTTAAATTTTTTTTTTTTTTGGAGGAGTTTGAGAAGCATTGGCATTAATTCTTTAACTATTTGATAGCATTCTCCAGGTAAGCTGTCGCATCCTGGGCCTTGTTGTGAAGCTTTTGTAAGGTTAGGTTGTTTATATGTGACTTTCTTTTTAAAATAGATATTGTAATTACAGACTTAACACTTAGTACCACTACCACTCTTGCTGCTTCTCCCAAGTTTTGGTGTGTTGTATTTTCATTTATCTCAAGATATTTCTTTTTTTTTTTTAAAGATTTATTTTTATTATTTTTTATTGGAAAGGCGGATATACAGAGAGGAGAGACAGAGAGGAAGATCTTCCGTCCGATGATTCACTCCCCAAGTGAGCGCAACGGGCCGATACTATGCCGATCCGAAGCCAGGAGCCTCTTCCGGGTCTCCCACGTGGGTGCAGGGTCCCAAAGCCTTGGGCCGTCCTCGACTGCTTTCCCGGGCCACAGGCAGGGAGCTGGAAGGGAAGAGGGGCTGCCGGGATTAGAACCGGCGCCCATATGGGATCCCGGGCGTGCAAGGCGAGGACTTAACCACTTGCGCCACCGCGCCGGGCCCATCTCAAGATATTTCTTATTTCTCTTTTCAACAACTGAAAGGTCAAAGAATCAATGAAGAGCGTTTTGCTTAATTTCTGCATGTTTAAACAATTTTTAGTATTCCTCTGCTGTTGAATCATTCTGTTGTAATTAAAGCAGATATTTGATATAACTTCCATCTTAGACATGTTTTATGATCTAACATGATCTGCCCTAAAGAATGTTTTGTAGGTATTTCTCTGTATTGCTGCTGGGTAAGATGTTCTATGTATGTCTGTTAGGTCTGCATAGTTCAGCTCTGTCTAATTGCTTTTCTGCTTGATTTTTCTACCAATTATTCAAAGTAGGGTATTGAAGTGTCCTGCCAGCTGTTTCTCCCCAGTTTTGTCAGTGTTTGCTTTACATGTTTAGGTTCTGTGGTATTAATCACTAGTAATCACTGTCTTAGAGTTCTTTTGTTCATCTCTCTCTTTTTTTTTTGTAGTGTCATGCTGTAACTGCTTTCTCATTTTCTTTTGTGTATCTTCTCTCTTTGTGGTTACCATTGGAATTACATTAAACATCTTCCAACAGTCTCTCTTAAGCTGCTGACAACCGAAGTCATATACAAAAGCTCTTTACTCCCAGTCACCTTATTTTTTAAATTCAAATAAGATATTTAACTTTCTTACACCTAAATTTTCTTTTGTGTAAAAAGGAGAAGCTCTCCTGCTAATCTATGCTTTAGACTTTTAGTAGGAGTCTGTGCAGTCAAAACTGTTTTCATAATGATTATAATTTTGAAATATATAATTTTTAAGATTTATTTCATGTATTTGAAAGGTGTAGTGACATAGAGGGGAAGAGCTCAACTACCCACTGGTTAACTTACCAACAGATCTCAGCAGCCAGAGCTGGGCTGGGCTGAAACCAGGAGCCTGGAACTGCAGTCTGGTTGGGCTCCCGTGTGGGGGTGGGAGCCCATGCGCTTGGGCCATCCTCCACTGCTTTCCCAAGCCCATTAGCAGAGAAGTCAGGACTCTAGCTGGTGCCACAATGCTGGTGGCAACACATGCCTTTTTCATGTATGTGGTGAAATGGGAATTCAAAGAAAAGCACCTGTAAGTTGAGTGTTTTGTGAGCTAAGTAGCTTTTTTGTTTTTTTTAAATGGAGCATTATGTTTATTCAAAAGAATACCTACTAGCAAACTGCAGTTGTTCAGATTTGACTATTTGGAAATGAGTGACGTGAGCCTGCTGTTTAAAGGAAAATAGCTGATACATTTGATGCCCGATGTTATAAATTCAAACTTTTCTAATGGAAACTGGAATTTTGGAAAGCTATCTGCCATGCCACCATGTGTTAAATGGTGTTCTGATAAAATTGTCAGTGGTATTTTGATGGGGTAATTACTACTTTTTTTTGTGTCTGATTTGATGTGTCTGCATATAGAAGATCAGTACAAATCAGGGTACTAGTATTTTCCAAAATAGAAGGAAATGTGTAAGATTATAACATAGTTCCAAGAGACTCATTAAACAGGGAAATCATGCGTTTTAATATGAATCTGATAAGTTCATTTATATGGTTTCAGATTTTACATTTTTAAAAAATTTAGATCATTGTGCCCGGCGCAGTGGCGCAAGTGGTTAAGGTCCTCGCCTTGCACGCCCAGGATCCCATATGGGTGCTGGTTCTAATCCTGGCAGCCCCACTTCCCTTCCAGCTCCCTGCCCGTGGCCTGGGAAAGCAGTGGAGGATGGCCCAAAGCTTTGGGACCCTGCACCCGCATGGGAGACCCGGAAGAGGCTCCTGGCTTCGGATTGGCATAGCATCGACCTGTTGCGCTCACTTAGGGAGTAAATCATCGGATGGAAGATCTTCCTCTCTGTTTCTCCTCTCTGTATATTCGCCTTTCCAATAAAAATAAAATAAATCTTTAAAAAAAAATTAGATCATCAAAATTTTAAAAAATACTTATTTTTATTGGAAAGGCAGATCAAATTAATGAAGAGAAGGAGAGAAAGAGAGAGAGATTTCCCCATCTGCTGGTTCACTGCCTGAATAGCCTCAGTGACCAGAGCTGAGCCCATCTGAAGCCAGGAGCTTCTTCTGGGTCTCCCATATGGGCATAGGGGCCCAAGGGCCAGCTTGCACTGCTTTCCCAGACCACAAACAGGGAGTTGGATAGGAAATGGAACAGCCAGGACATGAACCAACACCCATATAAGATCCTGGCACCTGCAAGGTGAGGATTTAACCATTGAGTCATTATGCTGGACCCAAGATTTTATGTTCTAATTAACCTTTAAGAAATTGCCACTGTGCTTGCTTTGGCAGCACATACACTAAAATTGGAATTATATAGAGAAGATTAGCATGGCCCCTGTGCAAGGACGACACGCAAATTTGTGAAGGGTTCCATATTTAGGAAAAAAAAAAAAAGGAATTGCCACTTGTCATGGCTGGTGTTATATCAAAATTGATATAAAGCCACTTCCTGTGATGCTGGCATCCCATAGTGGCAGCAGTTCGTGTCCTTGTTAGACCTCTTCTGGTCCAGCTCCCTTTTAATTGCCTGAGAAAAGCAGTAGAAAGTGGCCCACGTCTTTGGTCTTCTGCCTGGCCCAGTCCTGGTGGTTATAGCCATCTAGAAAGTGAACCAGCAGCCATAAGATGTATCTATATATCTCTCCCTCTTTCTGTAACTCTTCCAAATATTAAAAAAATTTTTTGTTGTTTGTTGAGTGTAAGTAAAATATTAAAGAAGCTTATGTGCATAGCTGCCTTGAAAAGCTGTTCAAATTGTTTTCCTAACTCCATGTCTGTGAGAGCAAATTCTCTGAATATAGACTTAAACCAAAATAACAGCATAAGATCGGATGCCAGCGCAGGTGCAGAATCCAGCTCTTTGCTGTCATGACAAATGTGTAGTTTACTTTTTGAGTTTTGAAGTGTTTGCTTCTTCCCTTTCAGGTATAGAGCAAGATGCCGTGAATACTTTTACCAAATATATATCCCCAGATGCTGCTAAACCAATACCGATTACGGAAGCAATGAGGAATGACATCATAGGTAAGCAGCACCGGAAGCTGTGGGAAAACAAAGCCAGACCGGACCTGTTTGGTCACTGGCTAAGAGATTTTTTAAGAACCTAGAATATAACAAGCCCCATTTCATAGTTTGTTTCAGATGCTTTCTTGTATCTGTTTCTCTAACATGGTGGACTGACTTTCTTAGATTTGAGACTGAATAGCAGCAGCAATAATAACACATTTATTGAACACTTGGTATGTCTCACAATATTCTGAGTATTTTCCATGGTTGAACTAATTTAATATTCTAATGAACTATGTGGGGTGGGGGCCTGGTGCAGTAGTCTAGTGTCTAAATCCTTGCCTTGCATGTGCCAGGCTCCCATATGGGCACCTGTCCACGTCCCAGCTGCTCCACCTCCCATCCAGCTCCCTGCCTGCATATGGCCTGGGAAAGCAATAGGAGATGACCCCAAATCTTGGGATTCTGTGCCCATATGGGAGACCCAGAAGAAGCTCCTGGCTTCAGATGGGCTCAGTTCTGGCCATTGTAGCCACTTGGGGAGTGAACTAGCAAACAAAACATATTTTTGTTTGTCTCTCCTTCTCTCTATACATCTGCCTTTCCAATAAAAATAAATAAATCTTAAAAAGAGTAATAACCATATGGGATAAATCTAGATACTGTCTTACCAGTGAGGAAGTGGAAGCACAGAGGAGTCACGTACTCTGTCACAAGGTCAGACGTGGCAGAAGGGATTGACAGTTAAATGTCCGTAGCTCACCGCTAGGCTGCACTGGCGCTGCTTTGCTCACCGCGCACTCACACCAGCCTTCCTTACGGCCTGTTCCTCTGCCCCCAAGCCCCACCCCCCGAAAATACTAGGTTACAAAAGTCAAAGTGTCGGACTAATGAGAGCAAATATAATTTCAGGACATTGCTTCCATTGTATATGCGTGTATACATGATGGTTCTCTGTAGGTCACAGTAAATAATTTGAAAGCATTTACTGGTAGGTCAGAATGACCTTGGCATTGACTAATAAAAGTCTTTCATTTTTTCATCTAACAAATATTGTTATGTTTCCAGAAATGCTAACAGTAGCTTTTATATTTTTATTCATTAGAAATTTAGTGTTAGGGCCGAAAAGTAGGGAGGGAGAGAGTATCAATACCATTATGTTCTTAGAAAAGTATCTACAAATCACATTAAATCCGTTAAAAAGGAATTCAGATTACAAAATACAAAAAGAGAGTACTTCATGGATTACAAAAAAAGAGAAAAAGTTGTTGCCCAGGCTGCAGCCAGGAACCTAAAGCACCGTGCAGGTCTTCCATGTGGGTGCAGGGACCCAGTAGTCGGGCCATCCTCTGCTGCTTCCCCAGGTCCGTAAGCAGGGAGCTGGATCGGAAGTGGAGGCGGGAGACTGCTTAACTGGGCTGTGCCGCAATGCTGACAACAATAGTAATCTTTTCTCACACATGCTACGGCTTTTTTATTTGCCTTTTTATTTTGTTTTTGGTGTGTTTAAATGTTTACAAATTCATTTTATGCCGTTAACTTTTTATTTTTGCTTTTGCACATATGCTTTACACTTGATCTTAGCCAAAAGGCCGAGAATCAATTGCACACATGCTTTAAAGAAACTTTCTACCTCACACTGTCGGCTAAGTTTTCTTAAGTTTTATTTAAGATCTTTATTTTTATGCCCTTTTGGTATTTCCCATTGGGGTTTTAAAATGTGTATGTTTTAAATTTGGTGGAAATGTAATGATTATTGTTTTCTTTTTTACAGCAAAGATTTGTGGAGAAGATGGACAGGTTGATCCCAACTGTTTCATTTTGGCGCAGTCCATAGTCTTCAGTGCAATGGAGCAAGAGTATGTTAGCTTCATATTTTCACATTTTGTGAGGTTAATAGTCTTTCGGAAATGTAGATAACATGAATTCTGTGAAAAATAAAATGATTTCTAGTTTTTGTTATAATTCCTACATTAAAACAGTTTGAGTTTGGAAGTCATTCCAAGGTGTTTGGGACTATCAGATAATGCGTGTCTTCATTTGGGTAGCTTAATTTGCCGAGCACAGGCTTTAAGCTTAACTTGAATTTGTTGAAACTTCAGAGGGTTTTCAGATAAATGATTGCTGCATGTCCTTGAAAAGCATGTTTGTATTTATTCAGTACTTACTGAAAGAAAGCTTTATGTAAGATATGCTAGCTGGAATACTTCAAGGAAATTACAGCCTAATTAAAAAAAAAAAAAAGGACATGCTCTTTGGTTACTGTAATATGAGGTAGCTTGTGTTAAATATCAGTAAGAGGTGGGAGAGATTCCTTACAGGTCAAGGGATCAGAAGTGGTATCACAAGAAGTGAAGTAGCCTTGACCTAATAAACTGTTTCAGATAACCACAGAGACAGAATGGAAAGAGTCTGTGTGTCCCAGTGCCGTGCTTTCTTTGGTCTTCAAATTTTCCCTTTTTGTCTACTTGCAGGCACTTTAGTGATTTTCTGAGAAGTCACCATTTCTGTAAATACCAGATTGAAGTGCTGACCAGTGGGACTGTTTACCTGGCTGACATCCTGTTCTGTGAGTCAGCCCTCTTTTATTTCTCTGAGGTAAATTCTGCATTTTCTTTCATGCTGCTAGAGCATTCCAGCCACTAAAGTGTAAATGCTGGGGGCCTGTCACCCGAAAATAACATCCATGCATGGGTCATGAAGTTGATCTGATGGCAAGAGCATTTTACTGACATGCTAATCAAATGAGAGCATACAAATTTGCTGTAAAACCGTTCTGTGTAAACCCAGCTAAACTGCTGCTTATAAGAGAAGGCAGTGCTTGTTTCTGAATTATCTGGAGCTGTTTTAGAAACCATTGGATTGCAGTGCACAAACAGTTGCAGACTAAGCCTTTAATAGCAAATCCGTGCATTGCCCCTATAGCCTCATCGTTGTCACGTCAGCTGCTTAGTTGGATTCTCAGTGAAGCAGTTGCCACAGCCACTGAGTATGTTCATCTCTTTGAGGCATAATTTAGTAGATATATTTGCTAGGTTTCAGCAAATGAAATTCTTTTTTAATTAAAAAAAAATTGTACAGTAGCAAGAAGGATTCCCAATCGCACAAGGCAGTTACTTAGACTCTTGCAGTCTGCCTCTTCACAAGAATACTTACCCAGTTGACTTTTCTTTTACTCCCTTTCATTGCCAAGTTTAAATCTGCATTTGTTCAGGTGATTATGTCTTTTGGATTGATAGAAACAATCAGGTTTAGAAGGTTTGATTTGTCTACCGTTTGTGAGACATTACTGTACCAATTCACTAAGTTTCTCTCCAACTGTGTGGTTGTTAATTCTTCCAAAAAATGTTTGTTTTTAACTTTTCAATCTCAAACGACTAAGTTGCTAACTAGTGTTAACTGAAGAGAGATTTTTTTTTGGGTTTTGCTTATGTTTTGCATTTTAATACTTAGGGCTTATAGATTGGAGATGGTGAGAGAAATCTGTTTTTAACCTTATTTTCGCTTTTATATTTTTTCTTCCTAGTACATGGAAAAAGAAGATGCAGTGAATATCTTACAGTTCTGGTTGGCAGCAGATAACTTCCAGTCTCAGCTTGCTGCCAAAAAGGGCCAGTATGATGGACAGGAAGCACAGAATGATGCCATGATTTTATATGACAAGTGAGTTTTATAGATAGATGCCTTTAATATTTGACAGATATTTATTGAGAGTTTGTGTGTATGGAAATAAAGGTGAATAAACTCATAGGGGACCGTAAAAACGGTTTGAGTGGTACATTTAAAACTTTCAGGGTCAGGGTGTCGTAGGACAAACCTCCTGTTGACTTTATCATAGGAAGACAGTTTGATGATATATGGCGCTCAAGGGGGCTTTTGCCGAAGAAAAGTTTGATTTGGATCCTCAATTTGAGTTTCACTAACCAGAGAAGGCAAAGATCCTTGGGGAAACAGCCCTGGGCAGAAGCATGCGTGTGGGTAACCAAAGCAATAAGGAAGGTGAAACCAACTGGAATCCATTATGTAGGGACTTCAGCATCTAGGCACCATGCCTTGTATCTTGTGCAAATCCACTTTACCAAACGAGTAACAGTTTTTCATTAGTTTTCACTGAAAACAATTGAGAAGAACCTAACAGTGAACAGTGTTGAAAACATGTGGTCAGATAAGTGAAATGACTGCGAGTGGCTCCTTAACTTCCTTCATTCAACTCCCCTTACTGGGTAAAGAGAAGTAATTTGTTCCTTGTAGCTACAAATGAGTGCTAAGGTGGTAACCTGATAGAGAAGAACTGCCGAGTTGTTAGACAGGAGTTCAGAGCATCTAGGCCAGCGGTTGCCGAGCCTCCAGGTGTGCAGGCTCACGTGCGGGCTGCGTGAGAATCACCAGAACGCTGGTTAAAAATAGGTTCTGCTGCCCCTCGAGGAGACTGAGTCAGCAGGCTCGAGGTGTGACCCAGCAGTCTATTTTTGGAAGACATGGCAGGTAATTCTGATGAGTAGCCAGATTAGGGATCTAGTCTGATTTTCCTGTCTGGTAGATAAGGACACAAAGGCCCAGAAAGGTAGGGTTTTCTCAGAGTTGCAGGGCAAGTTAGCAGCAGGACTTGGACTGAAACATAATTCTTAACATTCGCTCCAGTCTTCATTCTAATACATCCTATTTGTGGAAGATATTATATAAGAAACAATAATTTATGGCTATTGAAATAGCATAAGTAAAGAGTTTACAATGTAGAAATTCAAATCCTGAAGGGATATTTTTCAACTGAGTTGCATCATGGGAGACTCACTTTTTGTTATAAAAATGCTGATTTCAATGAAGAGTTTCCTTTATGCTAGAACGGAATAGTAGCGTTAGCAAGGTCCTGGCTGGAGCTCGCTCACCACACAGAGCAGAGACCACGCTCACCGCACGATCTCATTTGCACCTTGAGAGCTGCTGGGCGGTGAAGATTGCCATATAGCACACTAGCATGGGCATTTTTCCAAGTTAATTATGCCAAATTTGACCTTTAAAATCCCTACTTGTATTTTATGATTGCATCATCACAGTCTTGTACAAGAAGCATTTCTGTGAGACAGAAAATAGAGGCTTTTTTTTTCTGCTTTTAATACCTTTTTATTGTATTCATGTCATCATCAGCTTTCCACAACCCTAACTACATTATATCCCCTCAGTTAGAAATCTTTGGATGAAAACTGTTGATTCTTTTTCATACTACATCCTCAGCAATTGCTGTTAGTTCTGTCTGAATGTATCATATCCACTCACCTCACCTGAAGTGCTATCATTATTAATTTCTTACTGTTTGCTGCAATTGCCTTCTAGCTGTACTGGTATGTTTTCATTGTGTCCTGTACGTTTATCTCTCCTGATCTCGTTTCAGGGAAAGTAGCCATCCCTTACTTTCTTGTAACTTCATTTCTGTCTACTAGGTGCTGAAGAGTGAATAAGCATTCATTCAATGTGTAATTGGTTTCTCTGCCTCAGTTGTTACGTCAGCCTTCCAGCTTCTTAAGCACCATTAGAGCTGGCTAGGCAAGAGCTAAAATGATTGGCAGAAGAAGGAAAGGAGTTAACCCAGATAGTTTGCAGCAAGTGGCAGTAAGGTGATAGCAGAGCTGCTGTCGCCCAGCTCTGTAGCTGTGGGTCTGCAAGCTCAATCACGTTGCCTCATGTAAGATTCCATTTTAGTGCCCATCCTGCCCCCCTTCCCCCCCACCAAATTGCTGCTGCTTGCTGTGGAATTTGGTTTTATTTTGATTGTCTACCTGCCATAGGTACTTCTCGCTCCAAGCTACACATCCTCTTGGCTTTGATGATGTTGTCCGGTTAGAAATTGAATCCAATATCTGCAGGGAAGGTGGGCCACTCCCTAACTGTTTCACAACTCCGTTACGTCAGGCCTGGACCACTATGGAGAAGGTAACCAAGAACTTGAAAAATATTCAAATGCAACAACTTTTACTGCTGAAACCTAGAATATGTAACGTGGAACAAGCAAACCTGCAGGCCAGTGGAAAGTTGAAGCAGTGTAGCACAGTGATTAAGAGCATGGGCTTTGATTTTGAATCGGTATGTGTTAATCTTAACCTGTGGGAGGGGGTGGGGGTTCGGTGACCTCTGGCTACTGAGTTCAGTTATGAGTGCTCTTTTCTTCATCTTTGAAATTAAGATAATATGATTAAGTACCTCAAAAATATTTTTTCATTGCTTATTGAAGAGAGGCAGATAGCCACAGCTCCCATCTGCTGGTTCACTCCTAGAGGCCTGTAGCAGCCAGGAATAGAATCCGGGTCAAGGCTGTGATCCAGGAATGGAAGCCAGCTCTCATGGGGCGCCAGGAAGGTGCTTGTTGGAGCCATTACCACTGCCTTGGAAGGGTCTGCATGACAGGAAGCTAGAAGCAGAGCCAAAGCTAGTTATCAAACCCAGGCACTTTGGATTTGGGACATGGGTGCCTTAACTAACACAATGTCGCAGTAAATGCCCAGCCACGCCTTCACCCTCAAAGGCACTCTTAGGGTTAAAATGACACGTGTAAGATGCTTCTTTACATACTGCATGTAAAGATGTTAAATGCAGCAGGTGTTTGCCCTACAGTTAAGATGCTTGCATTCCTTATCAGAGTATCTGGGTTCAGTTAGAGTCCCACTCAGACCTTTACTTCCTGCTTCCATCTAATGTCAGCTCTAGGAGTCAGTAGGTGATGGCTGAAGCAGTTAGATCCCTGCCAGCCAGCACAGTTAGGAGTGTTGATGCAGTTCAGGCTCTCAGTTTTCCATTTCCCAGCCACTGCAGTCATTTGGGGAGGGTACCAATATATGGAAGCTCTCTTTACCTCTCCAAAAAGAAATAAGTCAACTATTATCTTTTTTATTTTAATTTTCTTAAATTTTATTTTCAGTAATTTTTACATAGTTGAGAAGGATGCATTTCCATGTAGGAAATCCACTGATTAGGGTGGGAAAGGTTAAGGAATAGGGGAAAGTGAATGAGACCATTGTTTCCAATTTTCTTTATCTCCTTCCTGTATCTGGGGAAGGGAGAGAGAAGGAGAGAAGCCACACCCAGCATCCTAAATGCATCAGTACCCAGAGATGGAGGATGGCCACCCAATGTCATCCTAGGGTCCCTGATGTGGAGCATGCTCTGAGAATACTGCTCACGTGGTTTCAATAGTTCTGAAATGCTGTTGATTTTGTTGGTCCAAGGATGAGGAGATCCTTCCAAGGTCCATTGGCTGACTTAGTCCATCTTAGGGTCTCCACTCAATGGATACTTGCTGTTAACACTTGACTGGAAGAATCATGCAATTTATTCTGCCCTCCATTCTTTGCTATGGTACTAGATGTCCTCTGAAGGCATCAGTAGACTGCCATATATCCCATGTACATCTGGACATGGCGTCCACTGCACTATCTTCAGTAGCTGAGGAAATCCTGTTCTGACACATGCACTCCTCAGTCAGACCAGAGATACTGCACTTCTCCCCATGGCTCGAGTTTGGAGTCTAGCAGTTCAGTTGGGGGTCAGGGAGGTCCCCAGAGAAACCTTGTCTGAAGTGACCCCCACACCTGACTCTTGTGTATGACAGCTAGTACGGAATCTGGTTCAGTCCATCACCCACATCGCCTGTATACAATACTGGTGTTTGCAGCTGCTGGATTAGTTCTGTTTCTAGCTCCATCTCTTACATAAACCAATGGATGCTGCAGCTCAGCCCAACCCTGACCACTACACACTTGGCCCTCATGTACACCAGCAGGAACTACAATCCAGTTGCAGCAACCCACAAACACCCCACCACAACCTCCCCCAGTCCTAATTCCTGCACACAACAGTATGTCCAGCAAACTGGTCCAGTCTGTCCTACATCCTGTTCGGCTTCTGTATATACCAGTGGGTGCTACAGCCTAGCTCAGCCCAATTGACCCCACTATCCAGCCCACATTTATGCTGGCGGGTGCTACCACCTATCTAGCCAGGTCTACCCCCAGCCCTGCTTCTCCTGCACACCAGTGGGAGCTGCAGCTATCCAGTTTTCCTACTGGGTCCACTCCATCCCTGGATCTTGCATTTTCCAGGTAATTTTGCAGTCTGGCTTGACAAGACTTTCTTCTACTCCCAGCACTTGCCAGCTGATGATGCGGCAAAGCCTGACCAACCTGCACTCCTCCTTGCTCATGCATGCACCACCAGTGGATACAGTTGCTTAGCCCAGGCTGGCTGTCTCCCTAACCCAGCTCACAGGCAGGTTAATGGGTTTTGTAGCCCTGCCTAGCCTGATCTTGCTCCAGTTCAGGTTCTCACACTTGCGAGCAGGAGCAGTGGCCCAGCAGGGAATTTCCCTCTCCTCCTGCCCAGGTGTCACATGTGCTGGTGGGTGCTGTGGCTTAGTCTGGTGTAACCTGCCTCACCCTGGCATTTGCTGGTGGGTGCTGCAGCCTGGCTTGGTCTGGCCTGCCCCTAGTTCCAGTTCATGCTGGTGGGTGCTGTACACTAGCCTAGCCTAGCCCAGCCAGTCCCCAGTCCTGGCCCTAATGCGAACTTGACTGCTGTTGCGGCCAGACCCGGCCTGTCCTGCACTCTGTCCTGGTTCTTACATCTGCCAGTGGGTATTATGAACTGGACCCGTCTGGCCCACCCCCAGACCTGACCCACACATACGCTGGCGGGTACCACAACTGGCCTGGTCTGGGCTGCTTGCAGTCTTGGTTCTTGCACCCACCTGCAGGTACTATGTCCTTACAGAGAAACTCCCTAATCTCAGTCAGGTCACCTTCCAGTGGCAGATTTCACGCACACGCTTGGATCCTTGGCCCAGCTCCTGTCCTGGTAGAATCAGGAGCCTTGCCTGACCGGCCTACCCCATTCTGGCTCTTCTGTTGGCTGCTACAGCCCAGCCACCCCTGGTTCACATGCCAGCACAGTCTGCCCCACCCTGCCTCTCCCTTCCCCCATGTTGGCCTTTGTGTGTGCTGGTGGGTGTTGTTGCCCGGCTCATCCAACACGGCCCTTGTGTGCACCTATGAGTGCTGCAGCCTGGAGTATCCCGACCTGCTCCCAACCTCAGCACCCATGAGTGTTGATGAGTTTCACAGCCTGTCATCACTGCCAGCTCTTGAGCAAATCAGCAGGTCTGGCAGTCGCCCACAGAATCTGCTCCCAGACCTGGTTCTTTTGCATGCGAGTTAGTGTCATGGTCCTGTCTGATGTCGTTTACACCCTGCCCAGTACTCTCTGGCAATTGTTGTGGTTGAGCCCTGCCAGGCAGGCCCCCCAGCCATGGCTTTTATGTGCGCTGGTAGGATATCAACGAGCCCAGCTCAGAACTCCCTTGTGGGTAGCTGCATTGGTTTGGCCCTGAAAAGTCCTCATGTTTCCCTCCTCTGAGCCACCTGGTCTCAGCCCCCTCGTTTACCTGCAAGTGCTCTGGAGCATGCTGTAGCCTGGTTGATGAAAGTCCTCCAGAAGTCACTCCTCACCTGCCACATTTGTCCTCAGCAGTCCTTCCTTCCACACATCCCTAGAACCCCTTCCTTAAGCAATCCGCACCTCACCCCCCGCCATGCCTGTGAGTGCACAGACCCCAAATCCAGTCACCCTGAGACCCTGCCTGCCTTCCCAGGGCCCACACATACTACAGAGTGGGTCCCCAGACCTTGTCTGGTGTGCCAGTGTCTGTCCCCCACATATCTTGGGGGGGTAAAAGAAAAGGCAACTCTGCTGGCACACTAGTATAGGTAACATAAATTTGGCATTAACCAGGCCCAGGATGCCCACCAGCTATTGGCTACTCTTCTCCCAGCAGCATAATTCTTGCCTAGGTACAGTGTAACCTATGCGCAGTTGTCTAAAGCTGGGGAGTCGGATACTATTCTATGTTTTAAAATCACTAGATACCTGTAAAGGGCAAAGGTAATTTGCGGATTGTGAATGGTTGGTTCTAATGAACTGGAGTAGATGTAACCAGGAATTTTACAGAGCGAAGACAGACGTTTGGGATTATGTTGCATGGCGTGTGTATACAGAAGGGAAAAGGATCAGTTGAGTTATGCAACATCATACATGGAAATGGGATTTTAGATTTTAACTTATGTATGGAAAGCAAGTTGTTTGGGACAGCACAGTGGCATAACAAGTTGAACCTCTGCCCACAGCACCAGCATCTGATCTGGGCTCTGGTTCTAGTCCCAACTATTCTGCTTCTGATCCAGCACCTTGCTCGTGTGCGTGGGAAAGCAGTGGAGGGTGGCCCTGGTGCTTGGAGCCTTGAACCACATGGGAGAGCCAAAAGAAGCTCCTGGCGTCAGACCGGCCCAGATCTGGCCATTGCGACCACTGAGGGAATGAACGAACCAGCTGATGGCGGATCTTTCTGTCTTTCCTTCTCCAACTTTGCCTTTCAAATAAAAATGAATCTTTTAAAAAGTTACAATAGAAAATTATTGAAAAGCTAGTAGTAAACCATATGCATCAGCTATTTTCCAGGGAAAGATTTTTTTGTTGATTCAATTTTTTCCAAATTTAAAGATGTATAGATCTGTACCTTATAAAAAATACTAACTTTCTGAGTAATAAAGTGCATAAAAATAGAGAAGTAGTTCATACTAATGTGTGTGTAAGGAACTTAAACTAACTTTAAGAACACTATTGGATACGTGGTGTGGTACAGTGGGTTAGGCTATGGCTTGGAAAGCTAATCCATAGTTGGAACTGCCTGCTCTTCCACGGTCCCATTGTAGCTTCCTGCTGATGCACTTACAGTGCAAATTATGCAAAGGATAATGGGCTGTAACAGAGTAAAACATTTGTGTGAGCTAGTGGGCTGTGGATGGGAGTTGATTTAAAGTCAAGTCTTAGCTACGTTTGATTTCAACCTTAAAACAGTGATTTCCCTCTCTTTCAGGTCTTCTTGCCTGGCTTTTTGTCTAGCAATCTTTATTACAAGTATTTGAATGATCTCATTCACTCTGTTCGAGGAGATGAATTTCTGGGAGGGAACGTTTCACTGGCTGGTCCCAACCCCTCAGGCCCTCCTGATGAGTCCCACCCAGGCGGTCCCGACAGCTCTGCTTCTCAGGTACTCATTGACATGCAGCTGTTGTTAGCAGGAAAAGGCACTGCAAACGAAAATCCTTCCCTTCAGACATCAATAACTGATGCTAAGTCATAGAAGGAAATAAAATTACTAGACTTACATATTCTAAGCATAGTATTGTGGTGAACAATATACTGTATTATAAAGATGTCATACTGTTTTATTCAGGACGTTTTTCTGCTTGGTACTGTAACTGTGTCTCTTAATAATAAAATGACTTGAAATCCATTTATAGCCTCTAGAGAAAATGTTTTAAAAATTTTAATAACAATTTAAGATGACATTTTATGAAAAAATTGAGTGGACCTCTTAAGGTTTCTTGATATTGTATTTAAGATAGTTTGGATTTGTTTTGTGAGGTGTTTTTTATTTTGTTTTTAGGGAGTGCTTTCATATATCAAACTTTGAGTGGTTCTCACCAAAATCATAAAAATGGGACATTCCTGAGACAAGAGATCTATCTAAGGGGGCATTCACGAGTTAACTGAGTTGATTAAAGCCACACAGTACATAGTGCAGCCTGAATTACTTCCCATGCAGTGTGCTTCGCCAAAAGCTTTATCCTAGAGCATAGTTGTTTTCTCAGTCCTGTTGCAAGTGACATTTTGAATTTTTGGATACTGCGGTTTGAGTAAGTTTTCTTAGTTTGTCAGATAATCCTGCTGGTCATCACCAAAGCGCGCCTGAATACCTTTTCTTCCCAGTAAGTTAACATGGGTAGTAGCCTGATTAGTTTACTTTTCCTTTTGTTTTCTGATGTAAGCTAGAATGTCTGGTTTTTATTTAGGCAGTTGAAAAATCTAGGCAGGTGCTGACCATAAAATATTTTTGTTGCAATATACTGTGTCTACAGAAAAATTCACAGTAACTAGTTAAGTGTGGCTGGAAGAATTTTCATAGAACTAATCCATGTGGGCCCGGCGCAGTGGCGCAAGTGGTTAAGTCCTCGCCTTGCACGCCCGGGATCCCATATGGGCGCCGGTTCTAATCCCGGCAGCCCCGCTTCCCTCCCAGCTCCCTGCCTGTGGCCTGGGAAAGCAGTCGAGGATGGCCCAAAGCTTTGGGACCCTGCACCCGCGTGGGAGACCCGGAAGAGGCTCCTGGCTTTGGATCGGCATAGTATCGGCCCGTTGCGGCTCACTTGGGGAGTGAATCATTGGACGGAAGATCTTCCTCTCTGTATCTCCTCTCTGTATATCCGCCTTTCCAATAAAAAATAATAAAAATAAATCTTTAAAAAAAAAAAAGAACTAATCCATGTTACCAGCATTCAGATCAAGACACAGAGTATTGCCAGCACATCAGGGGCTGCTTTCCTGTCCATGTCCTTCCTCATGTAGGGCATACACTTTTCTGGCTTTATGACATAGACTAGTGTTCCCTGTTCTTGACTCTTTGAGTTTATTGGTTGTTTGTTTTTGTAAATATTTATTACCTATTTGAAAGAGAGACAGAGATTCAGGGAGGGAGAGATGTCCTATCCACTGCTTCACAACAGCCAGGATCCTGGGACTCATATCCAGGTCTCTAAGTGGATGACAGAGCTGAAGTACTTCCGCCATCTTCTGCTGCCTTCTCAGACCCGTTAGCAGGGAGCTGCACTGGGAGGGGAGCAGCGGAGGCAGCAGGACTGCCTGAGCTCCAGTGCTCCTTGGATGCTGGCATTGTGGGTAGTGGCTTTCCTTGCTGTGTTACAAGGTCCCTCTTGTCCTTTTATAAATGGTATACTGTCCTTTTCTTTTGATTTTTTTGTACAGCTTTATTGTGATAATTCACATTTACAGTGTGTAATTCAGTAGTTTTGCAATATGTTCACACGTTTGACCCCTTTATTTTTCACTCCAGAAATAAACTCCATTTATTTTTAGCCTCAAATCCCTTGCATCAACCTAAGACAACTGCTAATTTACTTTTTGTTTTCTGGATGTTTCATACAAATGGAACCTTACCATATGTGAACTTTTGTAACTGAATTCATTGCTTAAAATCGTGTTTTCAAGATTCATCGATGTGTAGAGTGTTTCTGAGCTTTATTCCTCTCCATGAACAAATAAGACTTCATTGTAAGGAAATCTTCATTGTAAGGATATGCTGTTTTTTTTTTATTTTTATTTTTTTTTAAAGATTTATTTTTATTATTTTTTTATTGGAAAGGCAGATATACAGAGAGGAAGATCTTCCGTCCGATGATTCACTCCCCAAGTGAGCGCAATGGCCCATGCTATGCCGATCCAAAGCCAGGAGCCTCTGCTGGGTCTCCCACGCGGGTGCAGGGTCCCAAAGCTTTGGGCCATCCTCCACTGCTTTCCCAGGCCACAGGCAGGGAGCTGGAAGGGAAGCGGGGCTGCCAGGATTAGAACCGGCGCCCATATGGGATCCCGGGTGTGCAAGGCGAGGGCCTTAACCACTTGCGCCATTGCGCCGGGCCCAAGGATATGCTGTTTTTTAAATCAGTTGATGGACATTTAAGTAATTTCTCCCTTTCTGCTATTTTTAGTAATAATAATGTGAACATTGTATGCAAGGTTTTTGTGAGGATCCATATTTTCATTTCTTTAATTATATAGATCTGGAGGAAAACTGCGGAGTCAGATGGTAACTCTTTGTGGAACTTTTTGGGGAGTTGCCAGACTGTTTCCCAGTGCAGCCTCATCTTAAATTCCCATGAGCAGTGTAGGAGTTTCCTGTTTGCTCCATATCTCACCAGAGCTTATTGTTTGCCTTGGTGATTATACCTATTCCTATACCAGTAGGTAGTTTTTATGTCGCTGAGATTCTTATTTGCATTTTACTGGTGCCCTAGTGCTGATGAATTGTGTTTTTATGTGTGTGTTGACCTTTTTTTCTCTATTTGGAGAAATGTTTATTCAACTACTTTGCCCGCTTTTAAATTATGTTTTCTTTTTTATTATTTCTTTAAAGCAGTCGTAGTCTACGTAGAAGTCTCTTATCAAATAATTGCTTTGCAAATATTTCCTTTGAGTTATCTTTTCACTGTTTTATTAAATAGATTTTTTTTTTTAAATTTGAAAGTCATAGTCACAGAGAAAAAGAGTTTTCCATCCATTGGTTCACTCCCCACATAACCACAACATCCAGAGCTAGGCTGGTCAAAGCTGAGAGTCAAGAGCATCTTTCAGATATACCATGCGAGCAGATGCAGGGGTTCAAGGACTTGGACGTCCTCTGCTGCTCTCCCAAGTCCATAAGCAGGGAGCTGGATCTCAAGTGGAGCAGCCAACACACTAACCAATGTCCATATGGAATGCTGACACTGCAGGCATAGGATTAACCCACTGTGGTGCCGGCTGCTCAATCTTTCCTTCATGGATCTAGTGCAGCATTGACTGAAAGTGGCTTAAGTGAGCATCCTTGTCGTCTTGTTCCATGTATCACAGAGCTTTCAGTGTTTTGTTTTAAAACTGATTTATTTTTGTTGCAAAGCCAGATACAAAGAGGAGGAGAGACAGAGGTGAAGATCTTCCATCCGATGAGTCACTCCCCAAGTGACCGCAACAACTGGTGCTGCGCTGATCCAAAGCCATGAGCCAGGAACTTCCTCTGGGTCTCCCACGTGGCTGCAGGGTCCCAAGGCTTTGGGCCGTCCTCAGCTGCTTTCCCAGGCCACAAGCAGGGAGCTGGGTGGAAAGTGGAGCCGCCGGGATAAGAGCCGGTACCTTCAAGATAAGGAGGTTAGCCATTAGGCCACCGTACCAGGTCCCTGTCAGTGTTTTGCTGTTCACTATGATGTTAGGTGTAAGATTTTATAAATACTCTTTATCGGGCATAGCACAGTGGCCTCGTGGCTAAAGTCTTCCTCTCCTTGCTTGTGCTGGGATCCCAAATGGGCAACAGGTCATTTCCCTGATGTTCCACTTGCCATCCAGCTCCCTGCTTGTAGCCTGGGAAAGCAGTTGAGGGCAGCCCAACACCTTGGGACCCTGCACCTGTGTGGGAGACCCGGAGGAAGCTCCTAGTTTCTTGCTTTGGATAGACTCCGCTCCAGCCATTGTAGCCACTTGGGAAGTGAACTAGCGGATGGAGGATCTTCCTGTATCTCCTTGCTGTAAATCTGACTTTCCAATAAAAATAAATAAATGCTCTTTATCAGGTTGAATATGTTCTCTACAATCCTAATTTTTTCCCCTTTTAATCACAAAAAGTGTTGGATTTGTCACATGTTTTTTCTGTGTACGGGGTTTTATTCTATTGATATGATGTGTCACATCAGTTGGTTTTCAAAAGTTTAATCAACCTTGCATTTCTGGGATGGATCCCAGCATGAATGAGTTCACTTTACTAGTGTTTTGATGCAGGTGCGGTATCTACAAACACTCACTGAAGAGTTTGTAGTCTGTAGTTACCTTGTGGTGTCTCATTTAGATATTTGAATAACCAGTCTCAGAGTTAATTTGCTTTATTCTGGTGTCTTACGTTTTGATGTAGCTATGTGTCTTAGAGAATGTTCCTTTTTAGCAGATTAAGGCAGCTTATTTCCCCATAGAATGTTCTGTAAGTCTGTATTTCATTATTTTACTTAAGATAAACCTTTGCTGTAGCTGTTAAACTTATTATTCTTCTGTTATTTGAAATAATGTTGTAACAAAAAATCATATATAAGTCATTCTTGCATTAACAGTGATACTGTGTATAATTGGATTTCTAGAAGTGGAGTTTCTAGGTCAGCCTATAGCTCTGTATTTCATAAAACTTCCAGTTCTGACTGACCTGCTGTGGGGGTGAAGAGTAGGAGGTAGGATGCTGGAGGTGGAACATGCTGTCCTCAGCCAGTTGAGAAAGGTTGTGTAGCTGAGTAGGGGGCGTTTGTGTGTGCCAACACTGTTGGACTGTGTGTTTATTAGCAAGATGTATGCCCGTAGGTATTTGTACCCTGGAAAAAGGGTGCCTGGCAGGACAGCACGTCTGTGGGAACGTGTGTCAGTAAGCGTACAAACGAGTGTTTTATGCATTTTAATACTGTGCTTTCCCTCTGTAGTTCTAGTTTGAGGTTCCGTTTCAGAATCATTGCCATAAAGTATCTTAATAGTCAAAGAGTTAAGTGAAAGCTTGTGTGTTTCAGACACCAAAGAATATTTTGTGCATATCTATCATATTACAAACCCAACACTGGCCTATTTCCTAATTAACAGGCTAATCATTTTTGTTTTTCTTGTAGTCCAGTGTAAAAAAGGCCAGTATTAAAATTCTGAAAAATTTTGACGAAGCAATAATTGTGGATGCTGCAAGTCTGGATCCCGAATCTCTCTATCAGCGGACATATGCAGGGTAAGCTCATTTCATTTCTGTAAGTCTAAACAATTTTGCAATTTTTTCAGATGTTATTTAAATATTAAACTTTTTCTACCTTATTGTGTGCTTAGCACTTCCACACGCATGGTGCCGTGTACACGACGGCTGGAAGTAAGTTCTCTAGAGTGACTTCCTTTGTTTTTCTCTTGGCTGTCAGTTCTTTCACTGTGAAATGAGAGTAATTTTACTTCATTGAGTTGAGTGGATGAAATGAGGTAAAACATGAGAAACATTTAGAATATTCCTGACGTCTAGTGAACACTCTGTAAATATCACTTCCGGCATGTGCAGGTACTGCCCACAGTCTTGAACAAGTTGATGAGTGATGGTGCATTTTAGATGTTTCTTGCCATTTCATTTGATTTCATGTCTACTCTATTTTTAAAAGATTCATTTATTTTTATCGGAAAGGCAGATTTACAGATAGAAGGAGAGACAGAGATCTTCCATCTGTTGGTTTACTCCCCACATGGGTGCAATGGCCAGAGCTGAACCTATCTGAAGCCAGGAGCTCCCACACAGGTTCAGGGTCTGGAGGCTTTTGGCCATCCCTTGCTGTTTTCCTAGGCCATCAGTAGTGAGCTGGGTCGGAAGTGGAGCAGCCATGACATGAACCAGCACCCCTATGTGACCCTGGCACTTGAAGGTGGAGGATTAGCCTGTTGAGCCACAGCACCAACCCAGTCTACAAAACCAAAAATTTTTTAAAATATAAAAAATGTAAGATGATTGAAATGTCATTTAAGAATTAACTAGATTATTTTTTAGCCTGTAGCAAAAAGATAGTGATCCATAGACTATGCAGTTGATCACAGATGAAATCACAAAACCACCTCCTGTGTAACGGATTGGTGACAACAGGCTATCCTTGACCTGAGTCCCAGCGGTACCATAGAAAAGGGACTTCAGTGGGCTTAATTGCATTCTTCAGAAAGTGCGCATGAATATTTGAGCCTGAGGAGTCTGGAAAATATTTCGATGAAAATAAATGGGGCTTTAGTTTCATTGTGTCTGACAAGTACACTTAAAGCTAGTTTCTTCCAGTTCTCCATCGGTACATGCAGGGGCTACAACCTTGGGTCATCCTCTGCTACTTTCCCAGATCATTAGCAGGGAGCTGGATCAGAAGTAGAACCTGAAACAGCACCCATATGGATTGCCGGCCCTGCAGGTAGAGGATTAGTTTGCTGTGCTACTGTGCCAGCCCTTGAAATAGAACTTTCTAAAATTCCAGTGTGTCTGTGATTCCCAGTTCTAAGGAACCACACATTTATTCTGCAACTTGCAGGTGTCTATGCTCCAGATGAAACTGAATTCTTCTCAGGCAGAGATTGCTTGTGTGTACAAAGCAGAGAACAAACACAGCGACTGCTGACAGCAAACCTAAGGAAACCAGAGTAATCTGGGGAAAAGTGACTCATGCACACAGAAATGGTAGCATGGTTTATGTCAAACTCCAAAGCAGCTTTCCTGCAAGGCCACAGGCCTCTGGGCACACCCTGTGTGTGATGCTGTGTCCACTCAAGAACTTAGAGTACTGAAAAGTAAACAAAGACCAGCTTCTTCCATTGCAAAAAAATGCATAAAGAGGGAGATACAGATCTTCTGGCCACTGTTTTACTTCCCAAATGACCCCAACAACCACATGGGCCAGGCCAAAGCCAGGAGCCGAGAATTGTAGTGAGTTCCAAGCATGGGAGCCTTCTCCCGCTGCCTTTCCAGGCCCATCCTTAAGGATGTGGAGTAGCCAGGACTTGAACTGGAGCTGGAGAAAGAGATGCTGGTGCCATCACAAGCTGTGGCTTAACTGCATAGCCTGACACTAACCTTTGCTTGCTTATTTTTATGTAAATAGTATTACACTGCATTCTGTATGTTGTACTTTGCGTTCAGAAGTCTCAGAGACTTTGCTATGCTATTCTATACCTGATTTTAACTATGCTGTGGTTGAAATACATAACATAAATTAAACATCAGATGTCTTATTGTAACTCCTATGTAAAAAAGTATTGCATTGTGGGTTCTGCCTCTTTTGTATGTTTTGATATTAATCAGTATGGCAAAGGACTTCTTTTTAAATATGCTTCTTCGTACCAAGAGGCAGTTTTAAATTTTGGTAAATCTTCCCAGTTTGCCTTAAAGGGTATGTGTATCTTTTTACATTTTCTAAACCAGTAATGTGGATATTAATTTTCCCTATGTCTTTGTCAAAACTAATAACAAACTTTAGCATTTTTTCCAATCTTGAATAACTGCTAGAGAGATTGAGTTCCTTTTGCTATGTTTATTTGATTTTTTCTTCTGTTAATAAGTTACTTATCTTTCCATATTTTTGGTTGTCTGACTTATTAATAACTTTAGAATGCTATGGTTTTGGAAATTGCTTCATTGGCTGGTAATATTTTGAAAATCAGACCTTTTTTACTTTTTAATTTTGCTTTATAAGCCTATGGCTTTGTAATATTCTGATCATTGTTGTAGTAAGTCCTATTCTTGTTTCCTCTTTTATGAGGTTATCTTGGCTATTCTTGTGCCCTTTCTCATCTGTGAACTGGTTAATAATGTGTCATATTTCTTAAGCATTTTGGGATCTTGGATAAAATTGAGTCAGCAGTTATTTTTCTTTGGAGGAATGTTTTGTTTCAAGGTAGTCCCACTTTAGATAAAATTGATCTTTTTCTTTCCCTAAATTTAGAAATTGCACCCTTTTTTTGGTCTTATTTAGGAAGATGACATTTGGAAGAGTTAGTGACTTGGGGCAGTTCATTCGAGAATCTGAGCCTGAACCGGATGTGAAGAAATCAAAAGGTTGGTGATGTTTTTCTACTCCGTATTAAGCCTGTACTCCGTTACTGACTGTAAGTCAGGGCCCTATAAGGTTTAAATTAGTGATAAAACCAACGTCCGTCCTTGTTTGTAGGCGTAAGTGAGTCAGGATGTGTGAGCAGGTTTCTCTGAAATCTCTTCTGAGTCAAGCCGCTGAACCTGCTTCCCCGTTACAGAGGAATGGAAATAAGAGAAATGTTGGTTGCCTTTTTGCTTAATGACAAAATATGCAAGCTCCAGATAGATTTCTGGTTTATTTTGAGAACCTTTATTAATAATCATTTCCTCAGAATTACTTAAAGCTATTTTGAAATATGTGTGGGAAATATGCATTGTTGAAAGATCTGTATTCGATATAATCTGCCAGAGTGTCTTAGACACAGTCTATGCATTAGACACAGAAATCTTTCCTGACAGATGTGTTCTCTATGGTTGATTTCTGCTTAGAAACAGTTGATTTTCATAGGAAGTTTGGGAAGGTAAAAATTAATTCAAATGGTATCTGTTACATTGTTTTTAAAATGAAACCATAGTTGGATAATGAGCTGTACTGCATTGTTTAGTGAATGACAGAGTAAACTAACAAAAACAAATGCCGCAGTTAAGGAGATAACCTGTTTATTCACATAATTAGTGTATGTTCTATTTTGACAGAAAAGTCTCAGTTGGGTAGAATGTAAAAGACTGTTGGAAAGTTCTTTCAAGGAAATAAGTTTTGAGTTCCTCTCTGCGTATTCCACTGTGTATCCACTGGACAGCTTAGAGGATAGGAGTCTCATTGCCAAGAAACTTAGAGTGTAATAGTTCTGTGTCTTGGGTTGAGTGAAAGGTGAACACTGGGAAACAATCAGTGATGGCCTTGGAACAGGGGAAGTGTTACATGATCCCAGTGAGGAGTGGCCAGGATAGATAGTGCAGTGTCACCAGGTACCTTTTTCCTTTTAAAGGTTTATTTTATTTATTTGAAAGAGTGAAATGGAGAGAGAGATCTTCATCTTGTAGCGCCCTCCCCGGCACTTCAGCACTGGCCCCATTAGGCAGCTTTTGGCCTCGAGTATTAATAGAAAAGGTCTGAACTGTTTTTGCTTTGTTTTCTTGACTTGGACTTGTACCTCTGACAACTCACAAAGAAATGCTGCTGTTTCAAATATGTAGATGTTGAGTATGTGCCACTTTGTTTTGTTTCATAAGAATTAATGCATATTATGAATAAAAATACTAAAAAACAAAAATTCTCTGTTGCTTCTACTGCCTGTCTTTTTGTATTACTCACTCACTCTGAAACACAGTGGAATGCCTGGAGTGCCGCTAAGTGCGTCTCTTCTTTGTGAAGAGTATCAATACTGCATGTTCACATGTGCATAAATGTAAAAGGCGAGATACGGGACTGGGAGGGTGATAGGGGCTCCTCGTCAGAGCTGGCTGTCGGGAAAAGCCTCACTGAGGAGGCAGCATGTTGGGAAAAAGACCTGAATGAGGCAGGAAAGCCAGTCCTGGCAGTATCTAGAAGAAGAGTGTATTTGGTGGAAACCAGAGCAGGTAACTGAGTGTGGGTAGCTTGGCTGCAGTGGGGTGACCTACAGATTGAATGGGAGAAGGTGGGGCACTGAGAGGGGCAGCAGAGCCTGTGACAAGGGCTTCCAAGTGTTGGAGATGCATTGCAAGTTGGAGTCGGCAAGTGGTGTGGTGTGATTGATGTTTTAAAGGGATTGCTCCAACAGCGTTTAGGAAGATAGAAGTGATGTCAGAGGAGCTGGGAGGAAACAGAACTTCTTGGCATACAGTCTGAGTCGTGGTCTTAGGTGTTTGTGGGCTAGGCTGGTAGGTTAAAATAGCCACATTTGGGTTACATTTCAAGGTAATGGTGACTGGATTATTTTTTCTGCCAAGTAAACCCATCAATCAAGCTACTTACATTATTAATTTGAGGCACCTCTTCTATCTCTCCCACCTTTTCTCTCATTTTTTACAAACTAGAAGTTATGCCTAAAATCTTAATAATTCGAGCAATACATTTTTGCATAGAACATATCATAGATATTGTCGTCTATGATATTTTTAAGTCTACTGATATTATATTATTGGTGTATACTTACATGTTTAAGATATTTCCTGAGGGTATACATAAAATGTTCAGATGAGTAATTTTTAAATTTTTTGTTATTCCCTTTACCTCTTTGTGAAGTTTCTTGCCTTAAGCATACTTCACTGCTTACTTATCTGCCCTATCTCTTCCACCATGCCTTCCTGTTGCCCTTGAAATAAAATCTAGCCTCTTTGCTGTGACCTGCAAATGTTCCTGCTAGCCTCTACAAGTGTAACCTTACCTTGAACCACTCTTCCTTCTGTAAACTAAACCCTAAACGAACTCTCCTGTTTTCGTTTTTCTGGGGTTTCTTCCGTTTTCACTCCTCTACCCTCGCTGTTTGCTGTCACAGCTTTTAGGCAGCGACTGCCTCCTTCCCATGTCGGTGTTGCCTCTTGAAGCAGCCTCCCAGCCCGTGTGATCTGAAATCATCTGTACCAGCATGCCGCTTCTTTTCCTCCTCGCTGTCTGACTGGCTTGCTCATTCGCTTGCATACTTACTTTTGGTCTGTTTGACTGCACTGTTGCCTCAGTAGTGGTGTGATTTGTCTTATTTGGTATTATACTGCTTGTTGGTAAAATTATGCATTGCATGTTATAGGTACTCATTAATGAGTATTTGTACATCGAACTAATTAATCTTTTAAATTTTCATTAACATTTGTGATAAGATTATGGGCCATGTTTATATCCAAGAGAAAACTCATTTTAAAATTTGATTGCCTTTTTTGCACTAATACTGTTAACCCTTCTTGGGCCATAGTTAGTGGCTGTTTGTTAGCATTTTTTAGCTCTCACAGTTCTGAGATGATGTATCTGTGTAGGCATCTCCCTGGTTTACAAATGAGGAAATTGTTATTCATTAGGAGTTACACAGCAGCTGAATAGCAAATAAAGGGCTTGGCTTCAGAATATTCAGAGTATCTTGTCAATAATTGTAAGCCTCAGGTCCCCTTTCTTCTACCTTTCTCTTTCTTTGGAAACCTAGTAATAGGACCTGGAGAAAAAGACTTAGTTTTTAGAAGGGTTTGAGAAACCTCATTCTGTTTCAAGCAAGCAAGGCAACTTAAGTGACATTGAAAGCATGTAATAGAGGGCTGACACCTTGGCATAGTAGGGTGAGCTTCTTCTGCCTGTGGTTCTAGCATCAATCCAGCTAATGGCCTGGTTAAACAGTGGACACTGGCTCAAATCTTTGAGCCCCTGCATCCTTGTGGGAAATCTGGAGGAAGCTCCTGGCTTCTGGCTTGGATGGACTCAGCTCCAATGATTGCATCTGCCATGAAGTTGAAGCTATAGGATAGGATGACAGTCTTCAGAAAGATTGTGTTAAAGAAGAGAATGTTAACAGTAGAACCCCAGAGAGGCTGCATGTTACAGGAGTGAGGAGAGCATGTCAGCCACGTGGTCTGCAGCTGAGCCTGGCCGGCAGCAGAGTTAAACTTCAGACACAGACTCTGGACCCTGCCTGCTGGTCAACTTTAGCTAAACTTTATTCACACTTTTAGCTGATAATAAAAAATTAATGAGGGGAAAGGGTTCAGGTTTTATATTTTTTTCATAAGGGTTGTGTATTCCATTTACTCAAAACCTTGGCTGACTGCCAAAATAATCCGATAGTAATGTCCTTAGTTTGAGGCAAAGTTAAGGAGTGACATCTAAACTATTGAACGAAAGGGCAAACCATGTGTTTCGTGAATGGAAACAGGTTAGACTCTTCCTTGACAGTTCTCGGCGTCCGAGTACAGACACTGTCTTGTGTGCCTAGAAGCTGCGCTGTGCTGCAGCTTGCATGGCACGTGGCTGTTTGAAACGGTGCTCTCACTTTCCTGCTTTATGCAGATAGGACATCCAGCATGGAGCAGCAAAATCTGCACTGAAGCCCTTTTGTGAGGAGCTGGTCTGGAAACTTTGAAAATATAAGAAGTGAACCAGTGTCTCCTAACATATTGCTAGGTTTTACTTGAGAGCAATATCCTGGTTGAGGTTTGGTTTGGTTTGGCTTGGTTTGGCTTGGTTTGATTTGGTTTGGTTTGGTTTTTCATGTTTGCTGCAAATTCTGCAACAGTAAATAATTGATTTCCATCAAGAGAGAAAAGGAGAAGAAAATCTAGACTTTAGGAACAACTTTTCAAATGTGTTTCAAACCTTGGTGTTTCCAAACTAGATATTTTTAAAAATTATTTTCCATGATACAGTTTTGTAGATACAGGGGTTCCCTCCTCCCGTTCCCACTCTTACTTCCTGTTTCCCCCCATATTATTACAATAGTATAGTCCTTTCGTAACAGTTACAAGTTAGACATTCTGCTACTTAAGTGCATCATGGCATTGTAGGTATAAGCAATGATAGAAAATCTAGCATTGAATTGTCAAGTTAAGTATTTGCTATGGAAGCAGTATAACCAGTTTATTAATGGTAATAATCCTTAATATTTTTATGGCATCATATTAGGAAAGAATATCCATCTTTAGACAAGAACAGCTTTTAAGTAAAAGCATTTTTTCAATGTAAAATTATACATGAAATCTACATTCAGTTTTGCTTTGTTTACTAGGATCCATGTTCTCCCAAGCTATGAAGAAATGGGTGCAAGGAAATACTGATGAGGTAAATTCAGCTTTCATCGTGAAGATATCCGTTTATAAGTACCACCTGTGTCCAAATAGTTTTAGGTGCTCTTTGTTTAGTTCCCATACCTAAGCAACATGGCCCATCCATGTCCTCTTATCCAAGAAGTAACAGGAAAGGATGAGGAGGGCCTTGTAGCACTTACAGGTGTCTGGAAGTAGAGTGAAGGTATCTCCAGTCCAGAGACCTTGGCCACTGAGGAGATACGCGTGTTCAAGTTTCCATCAGCCGGCAGGCATCAGTAATCCATGTAGAAAGATCAGATGTTTTCCTTCTCCACTCTTATTTTCACTTTTAAAAGCAGAGGCTTGCGTTTTGAGTAGTTTAATGCATTGAGAGGTAGAAATAGAAGATTAGTGTAGAAAAATGTCTAATTTTGGCCATCTAACATGAAAGCAGTCATGGTGTTTGATGCCCACTAACTGATCCTGGAAGATAGTTATGCTTGTGTATCACAGCCAGAGGGTGGTCAGGTTTCTTCCATACATGAGGATGTCCTTCTGATCCAGATAAGTAGAAATGATTCGATATGCAGTTGTGTTTAGAGCGTTGATTATTTACATCTTGATCCTTCTAATAACCATTATCAACAGTTTGAATTACTTTCTCCAGGCCCAAGAAGAGCTAGCTTGGAAGATTGCTAAAATGATAGTCAGTGACGTAATGCAACAGGCACAGTATGATCCACCACCACTGGAGAAGTCTACAAAGGTAAGGGTGACTTGTGTAAAACTGAAAAGTGTTCTATTCCAAGGCCGTAGAGATTAAGCAGGGCATAGGAGGCTTCTGTGTGTGCCTTCAAGAGAGGGTTGCAGAGATTTAGAGAGGTTGCTGGCTGAACAGTAATCTACGGGTTGAAAATGCACATCTCCAAGGAAAGAACTACCAGGGTTCAGTGGGTTTCATAAGTCCTAGAACATAGAGCCACAAGTAGTCGTTGATCCTGGGCAGTGCCTGCACAGAGGTCACGCATTGCTGCTGGAGCTAGGTTAGCCCATAATCGAGCACCTCAACCAAGAGAGACAGGCATTTGACGTAGCAGTGAAGATGCCATCGGAGATGCCTGGGCTTGCCACCTGCCTTCCACCTTAGCTTTGTGGTAGTGTGTACCCTGGGAAGTGGGAAGTTACTGCAGCTCAAGTAGCTTGGTCTCTAGGCTCAACATGGGTGATGCAGACTGAGTTCCTGGCCCCAGGCTGTAGTTTGTCTCAGTTCCAGCTGTTGGGAACATTTGGGGAGGTAATCAGTGGATGGAAGGTCAGTCTCTTCCGTTGTTCCCCTTCTCATGATATTCTACCTTTCAAATAAATAAACCTTTTTTAAAAGTGGAAGAAAAAGTGAGACAAATAGCAAGATGGATTTAAATCAAATCACATCAATAATTACATCAAATGTAAATAGTCTAAATAGCCTAGTTTAAAAAAAAAAATTTAAAAAAGAACAGATTGTGCCCAGGACGGTAGCATAGTGGCTAAGGTCCTTGCCTTGCACATGCCAGGATCCCATATGGGCACTGGTTTGTGTCTTGGCAGCCCCACTTCCCATCCAACTCCTTGCATATGGCCTGGGAAAGTAGTCGAGGATGTCTCAAAACCTTGGGCCCCTGCACCACATTTGAGCCCCGGAAGAGGCTCCTAGTTCCTGTCTTCAGATCAGCGCAGCACCAGCTGTTGTGGCCACTTGGGAAGTAAACCTACCAATGGAAGATCTTCCTCTATATACCTGGATTTCCAATAAAAATAAATTAATCTTAAAAACAAAAGTAGATTGTAGGATTGGATAACAAAAAGTAAAAAGGCAAAGCAATGAAAAAAATACAGCATTAAGACAGACACTGTCAAAAGTAACCTAGAATGACGATGATTGCAAGTCAGAGTAAAATTCAGAATAAAAAAGATGAAGAATCCTAATTATATAAGCAACGAACGCGTTGAAGACACAGAGCTGTGGTGTAGAGGATTGCTCTGCTGCCTTGACTCCTGACTGCTCGGCCTCCGATGCAGCTCTGCCAGTGCTCCTGAGGAGAGCGTGCAGGATTGCTCGATGGAGTGCCTGACTTCTGCCTTTAGCTTGACCCACTTCAGCCCTGGCTGTTGTGGCCATCTGAGAAGTAAACCAGCATGTAGAAGATGTCTGTCTGTCACTCTGCCTTTCAAATGAATAATAATTAAAAAAATGCATGAAGCAAAAATGGATAGAGGTGCACAGAGAGAAAGAGATGCATAATCACCCTCAGAATACATCAGTCTTCCCTCAGTAATAGATGAGGCCGTGCTTTTGAAAACTTGGTACGGCCCTGTCTACCAGCTGGACCTGAGTCACATAAAACAGTGCACCCAGCACCAGAAGGATGCACATTCTTTATAGTACATATGCTAATATTTAATATCAGAAGGATATATTAAAAAAAGTTATCCTCCCTTTTCTACAGACATTATAGTTCATATGCTTTCAATTAGCAATAATCGTGCCTCGGATAAACCTCATTGGCTACGATACTGCCACTGCACAGAGCTTATAGTTCATATGTTAATAAGGATGCGCTTTCTTTTGGAACATTTAAAAAGATACACTGTATTTTCAGACGTGAGACAGGTTTCAATAGATCTTAAAGGGATGGAAACCATCCAGAATGTACGAAAAGTTGAGATTCAAGAGGACTGACAATGCGACAGAGAATTTGTGCTCCTTTTCCTTGTGCGGGCACTAGACTGTGACTTAGGAATCAGAGAAAAGGATGTGCAGATGGCGTATATGCAGACATCAATTCTTTGGAGACCTTTAACTTGGTTTAGATCATCATCACCCTTTGCTTTCCAACTTCCTAGACAACTCTTACTCTTCGGGCTTATTCAAATCCAAAATAACAAAGAGCAAGTTAAAGGCACAAACAGGAACAAAAGATGGTTATTTTTGTAATTTCCCATTATCAAGATGATGATCAAATGTTTGATAATAAGAGAAGGTTCTTTAGAAATTGCTTTTCGGGCCCGGTATGGTAGTGTAGTGGTTAAAGTCCTCACCTTGAACGTGCCAGGATCCCATGAGTGCTGGTTCTAATCCCGGTGGCTCCACTTCCCATCCAGCTCCCAGCTTGTAGCCTGGAAAAGAAGTTGAGGATGGCCCAAAGCTTTGGGACCCTGCACCAGCATGGAGGACCTAGAAGAAGCTCCTGGCTCTTGGCTTCGGATTGGCTCAGCTCCAGCCTTTGTGGCCTCTTGGGGAGTGAACCATCAGACAGATCTTCTCTGTCCTCCTCTCTGTATATCTGACTTTCCAAAAATAAATAAATAACTATTTTTAAAAAATCATTTTTGGAAAGCAGATGCTTAACATTCAGCCTTCCCATTCCAGTAACATGCTCAGATCTTATTGGCATATACTTTCCCTTTGAGCTGTGAAGGTGTGATTTGCTGCATTTTGATTCCTTAACTTGCAGGCCTTCCCTTGGATTTGTCAGATGTCTGTGGTGCCTGTCCCTCAGGCACTTAAACTAATAAAACTAGCTGAGTCCATTTCCAGGCAATATATGCAACCTTCTCTAAGAAAATCTTAAAAGCCCCTCTCCAAATTCCCATTCGATGGTTTTATGAGTGTGAGCAGCTATGGATCCTTGTAGGGATGCTCAGTCTTTTTACCCTTGAACCATGAACCCTGTATTTACCCATAACCCACCTCACTATCACTACTGAGTTAGTTCGTGAACTTTTGTCCCATCTGACAAACTGTGGCCCATTCCTCTGTGATTCATTTTCTCCTTACTCCTGTAAGTAAAGAAGAAACTTGGCTTGCTGAGCTTGTTCTGGGGGAGCTCAGCAGATCAGAGTTCTTGGGAATATTCTGTGTTTGATGTTAATTTCAAGTTTCCCCTGGTACAAGTAGTGCTTTCTGTTTATTTATTTATTTAAGGCAGATGAGGTCCTCCATGTACTGATTCATTCCCCAAGTGCCAAACAGCTGGGTTGGGCTTCAGCCAAGCCAGGAAGCTGGAATTCCAACCACGTTTCTAAGATCATGAGCCATTACCACCTGCTTCCCAGGGTGCACATTAGCAGGAAGCTAGAACAGAAGCAGGGCTAGTATTGCACTCCAGCCAGTCTGATAATGAGTCATGGATGTCCCAAGTAACAAATGTTATGACAAATACTCCACAAGCAGTATTTTTATGAATGTGTATTTGAATCCTTACCCTCTCTTAGAAGGAGAATGCTGTAGGGTAAATTACTAAAGGTAAAATTATTCTATTGCCAAAACGAAATGATAAAACCGTATCTTGACACTAGTCCTTGTTGTATGGCCTTGAGTGAGTTATTTAACTTCTTCTAGCTTTTGTGTACTCATTTGTAAATGACGGTAATTATATCATTTTACCTCAAAAAAAAACATCAGGTTGTGGCTGTCACAAGTTTTGCTAGATACTAACACCTGTTAACACCTGTTACTGATAACACATCACTTACAGAAATGTTCCTTACCTTTTTTCCTTTTTTTTTTTTTTTTTCTTCCCCCAGCTATGACTCAGGCCTGAGATTCAGGAAATCTACTTCTGAGAAACCAGAAAACTATTTTCCCTTGGTTGGAATCTTCAGCACAGCCAGTGAAAACAGAGCACTCTATTTCTCTTCACTGATGCATCACTGTTGTTTCCAAGAAAAGAATGAGAGACAATCCTAGACTTCCACCGTAATGCAGAGTAACGTGTAGACATAACTTGATGCACATGATGTTCACACAGTGAAAGTTGTAAAGATACAAAGTGGTATTGTTTACATTACTAGAAAAACGTTAGTTCTCCATGGCAATAACCCATTTATGAGAGTGGTTTAGCCCCCTGGACTAGACAGGGAGCACATGCTGTGGGAAGCAGACAGGCCTCAGGCTGCTGTCAACCGATCCATCGTAGCAGCATCACAAAGCAGGTGCCGGAGGTGCCCTGCATGGTCCTCCTAAAACACACAGGAGCCGGCCCACTGAGAGCCAGGTTGGCCCGAGTGGGCGGCGGTGCGGTGCTAGTAGTGGGGCAGGGAGAGGAGAGGACTCGCCACGCAGCCTCCCTTCCCAGAGGCGTTACTTCAGAAGGAGATTGACCTGGTGTGGGTCAGGCCTCGGTGACATCGTCCAGTTTGCAAACGCTTCCTTGCTTCTGAGATGCAGTGTCTTTGAAGCTGTCTCTTCCTGCTAACAAAGGGTGGTTGTGGCTTCCTCTGAGCATTAGAACTTACTCCTTTGAATTTTGCGCTCCAGTTACTTAACTTTCCCTTCGGCACATGTGTGCAGAGAAAGAATAATGATCACTCCAGTTTTCCCCTGTAGTACCTTGAACAAAATGGTTGTACCCAGATTGTACTGTCCTTATTTTAATAAGATGGGTAGGTTGGGCTGGAGGGAGGGAAGAATTCACCCAGATGTGACGGCCTCCACTGCTCTTGGCTGGGAGCTGGGAGGTATACATCTGGCGGCCTTTTTTCTGTCTTCAGAGTAGCAGTAGACAGACTCACTGTTCTTCTGCCCAGCCCACTTCTGCACGGGAACTCCCAGCCATCCACAGGACTGCCCTGTTGGCAAGCACACTCGACTGGCCCTCAGCGCTAGGGCTTCCCCAAGCACGCAAATGTTGGAGGGGAAGGTTCATTCTCTTAGATGTAATTGCTTTTGCAAAAAAAAGAAAATATATATATATATATAAATATATAATTATCAATCACTTCTGTCCTTGAAAAAGTCTTGAATGAACAAAGAATTTATTCCATTGCAATAGTTGATTATATAGAAGCTCCCTGTTTCATCAGCAGAAGAGGCGACAAGGCGATGTGTAAGTTTTTGGTACTGTGTACCACCTGTTCTAAAGCTGAAGTATTCATGTACTTAAACCATATTCTATTTAATTGTGTTTGATTTTAAAATATATATATGAATTATATTTAAAATTGTGTCAGCTTTCTGCTTTTAGGGCATTTATGGCTCTCCTGTTGAATATTTTAATCGTTCCAAAATATTTCCATTTGCTTTACAAAAACCCTGAACTTGAGCCACTGCTGGACCTAGGCTTGTGTTTGGACTGTGCCGCGTAGACCTGAGGTGTTTTACTAGGTATATACTTTGTGATTAACTTATTGTTCTTTTTAACAGAATATTTCTATCCACTGCACATTGCTTAAATCTAAGTAACAGAAAAGCAATACAAAGGTCATAGAATAAACTGTGGTTTGGGGTAACTCTGGCTGCCTCTGCATGTGTCAGCGTAACAAATTTTGTACGTTTCCAGGCTATCTGAGCTAATGCTTTCATTTAAGATAATTTCGAGCAATTTCTTTGCATATGTTTTGTGCTTCTGAGCCAGCGATGCCAGTCGTTGTGCGCATCTTGATGAGAGAAGAGCAAGTTTGAGATTCAGTTACCTTTTCTCTGCTCCCCACTGGTGTGCAAGGCCTGAGGTTATTAGCCACATTTAGTATTTAACCTAAAGTTCTAGCATTGAGAACCCACAGTGTGTCAGGTTCTGTTCAGTCTGTAGACTGTGATTCCCTGGCAGGGATTGGATAGGCTCAAGGAATCCCAAGAATAAGCTTTGACTTGATCATGTCATTAACATCAAATGCAGCTTGTTTAAAAGGAGAAGGTAGTAATGAGGAAATGATGCCTCTTGTAACTTGGCGTGTCTCCATCACTTCTCTAAGATTGGATGAAAGTAAAAAAACATGTCAACTAAATCCAGTGAAAAGCAATGAAACAGGGAGCAGCTTTTTGTAGCGTGTTCTGCTTGAGTGTCAGTACCGTGCAGAGCTGTACAGAATGGAAGTGTCTGCCAGTCCTGGAGCTTTGGTTCAATAGGGGTCTGGAAGGTCATTGTGAGCTGTAGAAAACCACAGACTCCTGCGTTGGTTTATGTAAGTATTGGGACCTAAGTCCCTGAAGAAGCTGCTTGCTCTCTGGTGATGCCTGGGGACCTGACTCACAGGAACCACCCCTCTCCCCTGGCCCCAGGCTTGGGGGATATGAGAATTCTGCCTCTTACCTTTTCCTCCCTCTCCTCCACACACCAGTTGATTGAGGGTTGAACTGATCCCAACAGGCCCCATTCTTATCTCCTGGGATGGTTGCTCACAGAGTCAGGAGCCAGCACGGTGTCAGCAGACCTCAGTTGGTAACCCTGACCACTGTGCTTCCCAGCTTTCTGCCTCCAGTCGTGCACCCTTGCCTCAGGCTCTGATCATCCCTTGGGTATGAACTGTGGGTTTTTTTCAGGAGCAGTTGAGTTTCTAGTATGCCTAACAAAAAGGATCTTAACTTTAGAAGCCTAGTGACCCTGTATCCTGAGTAAGACTGCAAAAACGCTGCTGAGTTCTAGAAAAGTTTACTTTTGTCACTCCCCCACCCCCATTCATCTTGTGGTTTTTCTCAAAATGGAATCCTGATCTATTGGAACTGAAAGACACTCATTTTAGTAGTAGGAGTTACTCAGTAAGAGAATGACCAGGAGGTGCCTGGCATCCTGTGAGATGGTGGCCGTCAGAACTGAGGGCAGGGGTCTCTGTTCATGTTTCCCAACTTCTTACTGAAGAGTAACATAATCTCCATCTTAGCAACTCTTAAGTGGCCTAGAAATGATGTTTCAGCGGATGAGTGCCTGTTAGAAACTTATAGTGAGGGAAGTGGGTATCTATTACACACTCTGTCAGCGCTGACTGCTCCTATGAGCAAGGCCTTTGGCTGAAGGCCTAGAGGAAAGGAAGCATCAGTAAAATCCGTAAGGTGATGTCAGTGGCCCACACCATTACATGCCCTCTTAGCCAGTCACAGGCGAGCATTGTGGGCCCTGAGGAAGCCTCTGCCTGCTTGGGCAGAGCCTGGAATGGCCTTGATGAGAGGGTCAGTGTGAGCTGAGACCCGCAGGGTCATTCTTAAGCTTAGAAAGGGGTTGCTGCCCATTTCTTGGCGTGGCACCCAGGCCAGTTGTTTCTTTTAAATGGCCTGGTCAAGTACATTGAGGGGTCACAGAGCTCCTTTGAGTCACCAGACCCCTTGCCCGAGGCCGCCCCCTCTTAGCAGCCCCTCTGGCACCTGTAGCACTGGGCCCTTAAGTCCCCTGAGTAGCACCTGTGAGCACAGGCTGGCGCAGGGAGGTTAGGTGAGCCTAGAAAAAATGGACTCCAAGGGAGCTAGGATTTGCAAAGAAGCAAACGAGAGGAAAGTTGTGACAGCTGTGGCATTCTTCCCAGCATCAGATTTGCCAGTCTCCTGCCTTTAAACGTGCCTTCCGCCTCTTCCCCCAATGATTGCTGGCTTCTGCCTGTGCAACATGTGGAAGAGGCTCTGCCTGAGAGAAGCACCAGCTAGGACTCGGCCTCTGCATCCGGGCTCCAGCCTCAGCAGCTCACCAAACCCAACCGACACTCCTACGGCAACCTCTGTTCCTTCCAATTCCAGTGAGTGTTCACCCTGGTCATGCCAGGCACTGTTTATGATGCAGGGACACAGGAACAAAGTAAACTTCCAAGGTCCTGTGGAGCTTGGGATCTACTGAGGAAGAAATGGAAGTTCCTTCTGAAACACATGCTGTTGTTTTTGACTCAAGATGACTTTGGGGGCTCAGGCCCAGGTTTAACTCTCCTTACCACCTGTGCGAAAGAAAATCATTGGGTCACTTAGACACCATCCTCCCCCAGTCTCCAACACACACACACACCACCACCACCACCACGTTACTGCACGTATGCAGTGTGAAGTCACAGCCTTGACAACTATTGAACTATTTCCTTGAAACAGCTCCTCTGCGTGCTGCGTTAATGACACCAGTGCTGACCACCGTAACAATGTTGACCCTCTCCCAGGCACTATCCTGTTTGAGCCTTAAGACAGGGTTGCAAGGGAAGTGCTTCATTCTTTTCCCTTCTTGGAACTGAAGAGAGTGAGGCTCAAGAAGCAAAGGGATTTTTTCCCCAGGATCTCAAGCCAGGAATCTCCCATGGTGTTACGCTGCAGTCACTTGCTCTTCTCTCATTTTGCTGCTCACTGATGGTCAGCACATGGCAGATGTTGGAGGCTTAAGAAAACTGGCTGGGTCATGGCTCCAAAATGAAAACATTCCACCCATTACCTTAGAACAGTAGTTTAGACGCTTTCACACTTGTCACGATTTCCCCAAAGATGTTAAATCGTAGATGGCTGGGCCTAACCTGAGTTTCTGATTTCGTGGGTTTGAGATGGGCCCCAAAAATAATCATTTTTGAAAGGTTTCTCAGATGTTGATGATACTGCTCTGGAGTCAACACTTTGGAGAATCACTGTCTTAAAGTCTTTCCAGCAAGTCGGGAAATGAGTGTTTCCCTTTCCTGGCTGTAGTCCATGCTACACAGAAATGTAACTTGAGGCTGATTACTCAACACAAGTCCTTTGTTAGTGTTCAGATGCTTATCAAAGCTCAGAGCACCCCTGCTCCATCCCTGCTTTCTCAGATCAGGAGAACCTGAGGCCCTCAAGGCCAATCTCACTGGGTGAGGCTCAGCCCGGTGGTCGTCCGCTCCCAGACCCGAAGCCTTTGCTGGGGCAGGGCTCTGGGCAGTTCTCTGGAAATGAGACTTTGCACTCTTGGGGTCACACTCAGATCCCCAGTGAGTCCTTTTGCACAACTCCTGGCTGTTCCATGTCTTTGCAGCTAGCTTGTCTCCCTAGCCCTTGGTGCCAGTAACCCTCCAGGAGCCTGACCCCACTCCTTCACTGTCCTTTCCCACTCTGTCCTGGGACCTCATTCTTGCTTTCCTTGCCTGCTTTCTGACCCTTCGTCTTCATGTGTTCCTGTAGCACATCGTTCCTGATGGCCTGCTACATGGCCTGTGCTAGTTGCCGGGGACACAGTCGAGTCAGGGATGTGTTGCCTGCCCTCCCTGTGGTCTAGGAACAAGGTGTTACGCGTGAGAGGAGTGCCATGACGGTAAAGAACCCACATCCTTACGGGAGTAAGGGAGGTGAGCTCCCTCATCTCCTCATGGCTCACACTTCCCGATCCAGTCAGTCTTCCTGCCTGTTCTTCCCTCAAAATGTTGGGGTGTTTTTCACAGTCCCGGTTGTGTTACTCTTGCATCCCTGACTGGAGCAGGACTATGTCCAAATTGCCCACCAGCACGTGTCCTAGCTGTTGCTGTTGCTTCCAGTTTGGCTCAAGGTCCTCATTCAGCCCTTCCCCGGGGAACCTGTCTACGTTGCCCTCCGGCTGCAGGAAGCTCCTGGCTCTGCTTCTCCCACTCTGACACACCATTCCTGGCTTCCCTCAGGCCTTCCCTTCCCACCAGGAAGCATCTCTGCTCAGGCTGACCATCCGCCCAGCAACCTGTGACCTGGGATTCTTTGCTCATTCTATTCCCAAGAATGGAAAAAATATTGAGGATGGGTGTTGTATCCACCCCTAAGCAAACTCAGCCATCTCGCAACTGCTCTACCTCTGGTTTCTTCTCACGAGTGTTAATCCACAACAACCTCGAACAACGCAAGTTCGAGTGGTCATAAATTCCTCCTGTTGGAGTGGGTCCAAAGAAGGGAGGGAAGGAACGGTCATGATCCCAGCAAGCTAACTCACCATCACCAGAGCTCAATTATGTAAAGCTGCCTTTCAGAGAGCGATTTCAGAAGCGGTGTAGTGAGCAGTGTTGTTGCGAGGACCACAGACCTATCCCCGTAACGGGGGTGGGGACAGTCCAGAAGGGATGGGCTGCGTGGACGGCTGCAACGCCTGTGTCAGGTGTGTGTGTTTTAAAGTGCTGCATCTCAGCTTCACCACGAGGCGGGGAGAGACATGTCAGAACACTGGCTGTAGGAATCATGAAGATGTTGCTTTCCAAGAGGCGTATAGAAAATTCAGATCAAACTGCTATTTGAAATGTGAGAATGGGAAAAAAGCAATATTTTGTATTAATGTCCTAGTGTATATAATGTTATTTTAAATAAGCATGTTAACTAAATAAATTAGATACTATAAAACTAGCCATCTGGTTTATTTCATGGACATTTCCGTAAGCTTAACCACTCTGATACTTGATTCTTTATATTTTTTATTTTTTCATCTCATAGGGCAGTAGTGATCGGCTACCCATCTTCTGCCAAATTCCGAATTCAGACCTCGAACTACACCTCTCCCGTTCTTTCCTCAGCAGCTTACACTAAGCAATGCATGCAATGTAGAATAACCTCTCCAGGGTGGACTTGCGCCCTTCCAGTCAGGTTCTGGTGAGGATACCTCTCTTCCCTCAGAGTGTCTTGGTGAGATTCCTCCCTCTGGCTTCTGACTCCAGCTGCTGCTGATGCGAACCCTGGGAGGCAGGGATCACCTAACTAAACTGGACCACCTGTGTGGGAAAAGATGGTGTTGCCATTTCCTGGCTTCTGGCCCCACCCACTCCCGTATGGGGCATTTTATCTGAGAGGCAAGGAGTCTGAAAAACAGTGGAATTGATCAATCTCACTGCCTTTGAAATGAATAAAAATGTTTAAGTTATTGAGGGACCAGCTTTGCAGCACAGAGTTAAACCAGTGATAACACAGGTACCACCTATTGGATGCCTGATTGGAGTCTCAGTAGCTCCACTTCTGATCTTGCTACTTGCTAGTACCTGGGAACGTAGCAGGTGATGGCCTAAGTACTTGGGCCTCTGTCACCCACATAGGAGACATGGAATTGTGGCTGCTGCCCAGCCCAGCCCTATTTACAGGTATTTGGTGAGTAATCCAGCAGATGGAAGATACTCTGTCTTGTGAATTTATTATTCTGTCCTCTGAATACGTAAATGAAACTTTTTAAAGGAAATAAACATTGATTAAAGCGACTATTCTTCACTACACAAAAAATTCCTCCTTGTGCTTGGAAAGGATCCCACTGGCTTCCTCTGGGCTGTCCCCTCACTGTGTCCGGTTCAACAACAGCCTTGGGAGTTGCTCCTGGCCCCGATGGCTCCATTAAGTGAGAGAGAGCTGTTCTTAGGAAAGGCCTGAGTTTGACCCCCAAGGAGTATGGTTCAGGAAATGCTAGGATAAACAGCACACACTTAATAGTGAAGCAACCTCATCGGATGGCCTTCCTGAGTGTGTTTTCCCATGCTCCGAGTTGAGTCTTCCTATGACCGCTCTCAGCAAGGGACTCAAAGGAAGAGGTCCCTCTCTTGGGCTAATCCAGTGAGTGATCCAGAAGGTGCCATTTTTTGGTGTCTGGGGGTCACCAAGACACTTTCTGTAAGTCTGTGATGTCGAGGTGTTTCCTGACACTGAGATACAGGTTGCCATGGTCACCATGTGACTGTGGATGCAGAAGCAGTGGTGGTGGGGACTTCTGTCACCTTAGCAGGAATCTGGACAGTGACACCAAATTACCTGACGTATTCTTAATGACCACACCACATACTCGCTGAGAAAAGAGGAAAGCTCCTTTCCCGGAAGAATGTCCTTTGGTGAAGCAGTAACAAGTACCAGTACTGGATCTCATCCCTCTGGTTTGTAACTATGTGACAAGAAAAGAAAGCTTGCAATCCAGCATCCTGCTCATGTTCCTTGGATGTGGCAGAGTGATGGCCCCTGCCAGCCATGTGAGAGAATTCCCAGTTCTTGGCATCGCCCTGGCCCAGCTCTGACTGTTTTGGCCATTTGGGGAGTGACCCCACACAGATGGAAGTTGTTTCTCTGTTGTTCTTTAAAATTGATGATTTTTAATATGAGATGAAACACTCCTAGGTACCCACTTACATACCAAATATCTGTAATAGCCAGGACTGGGCCAGGCCAAAACCAGGAGCTGGGTGTACCCTCCAGGTCTCCTGTGTGGACAGCAGGAACTCAGCTTATTCAGCCATCAGGGTCTGCCTGAGCAGGCAACTGCTCAGCAGCTACAGCAAGCCCGAGACTGGTGTGGGGTGCAGGCCTCAGTTGTCAAGTTTGGGGCAGACAGTCACTATTTTTGGAACATCACTTTCCTTGAAACAGCAAAACTGACTATTCAGACTTGGCATTTAAAAGACTTTTTTTTTTTTCAGATTTATCTATTTTTATTGGAAAGAGAAGCAGAGACAGATTTTCCACCTGTTGATTCACTCCCAAAGTGACCACAACAGCTAAAGCCGAGCCAAACTGAAGCCAGGAGTTTCTTCCGGGTCTCCCATGTGGGTACAGGGTCCCAAGGCTTTGGGCTGTCCTCTGCTGCTTTCCCAGGCCACAAGCAGGGAGCTGGATGGGAAGTGGAGCAGCCTGGACATGAAGTTGTGTTGGCAACGGCCACATTGCCATGTACCCCGAGTGGAGGAACTAGGGTTACAAAACGGATAACACACAGTGGGTCATTCTTGTAAAGAGAATGCCATTTATTCAAGGTCAATCCACATCTTTTATAGTCTGCTAGGTTCCTCCCAGTATTTTCCCAATGCTCAAGGGACACCTAAGCTCCCCTGAGGGCATGTTAAAAAGGGGAAGCAGGAAAGAGGGAACTTGAAGTCAAGCCAGGGGTTAAATGTATCAGGCCAAGATTGCCCATCCTGTTACACCTTGAGAAACAAGCTAAGCTGTGGAGTTAGTCCTTGGGAGACCCAGCGTGCAATGGTGTCTATATGGGATCCTGGCAGATGCAAGGTGAGGATTTAACCACTAGGCTATTGTGCTAGGTGCAAAACATTTTCTTGAGCATAATTAAGTGAGCCTTGTCCTATCAGGGGAAAAAAAAAATGACATAATTTACTGCCAAGAAAAAAGTTTGAATTTTGAAGCTCAAACTATAATTTTGACAGACTACTTTCACTACTTGGAGCTTGCTAGTTTCCCAGTACTTAACTAAATCTCCCTCATTTTAAGAATACTGTGTAGGGACTGGCATGATAGCCTAGTGGATAGATCCTTGTCTTGCAAGCACCAGCATCTCATCAGGGCTCCGGTTGTGTCCCCGCTTCTCCACTTCCTTTCCAGCTCCCTGCTTGTGGCCTGGGAAAGCAGTAGAGGATGGCCCAAAGCCTTGTAGGAGACCCAGAAGAAGCTCCTGATTCCTGCCTTCAAATCAGCTCGGCTCTGGCTATTGGAGCCAATTGGGGAGTGAACCAGGGGATAGAGGAAGTTTCTCTGCTTCTCTGTAAATGTTTCTCCAATAAAAATAAATGAATCTTAAAAATAAGCAAATACTGTGTAATATAGCGTGTCAGCATTTTGAAGAGCTGCATAACTCAATGAACCAGTATTATTTTTTTAAAGATTTATTTTTATTGGAAAGGCGGATATACAGAGAGGAGAGACAGAGAGGAAGATCTTCCGTCCGATGATTCACTCCCCAAGTGAACGCAACGGGCCGATACTATGCCGATCCGAAGCCAGGAGCCTCTTCCAGGTCTCCCACGCGGGTGCAGGGTCCCAAAGCTTTGGGCCGTCCTCGATTGCTTTCCCAGGCCACAGGCAGGGAGCTGGAAGGGAAGCGGGGCTGCCGGGATTAGAACCGGCGCCCATATGGGATCCCGGGCGTGCAAGGCGAGGACCTTAACCACTTGCGCCACCGCGCCGGGCCCACCAGTATTTTCAAATGACCAAACCATGATGCTCAAAATGATGCACTGGTAAAAAGAATCCATTCAAAATGCAAGACTCTGTCATCAGTGAGTTTAATAGAAAAATGAAAAGTTCATTGATACAACCTAGGTTCTACACTGTGATAACCTTCAAGAAACAACCACTTAGGGCCTGGTGCGATAGCATAGCAGCTAAAGTCCTTTTCTTGAACACACCGGGATCCCAGATAGGCGCCAGTTCTAATCCTGAAAGCCCTGCTTCCCATTCAGCTCCCTGCTTGTGGCCTGGGAAAGCAGTCGAGGACGACTCAAAGCCTTGGGACCCTGCACCTGCATGGGAGATCTGCAGAAGCTCCTGGCTCCTGGCTTCAGATCGGCTTAGCTCCGGCTGTTGCGGCTGCTTGGAGAGTGAATCATCGGATGGAGGATCTTTCTCTCTCCCCTTTCCGTATATCTGACTTTCCAATAAAAAGAAAAAAAGAAACAACCACTTGTTGCAACCTGATAGAGTATCATAAATATCCCTAAGTTCTGATTCAGTTGTTGAATTTCTCTTCCCATTTCTGATTTTATTATTGGTTAAACAAGATTTCCTTCAACTCTGATAGCAAGTCATCGCAGATGGAATGTCAACCAGGTAAGAGAAGACGATGCAGCAAGTCAGGGCACTGCATGAGATGCCACGGCCTGCTCGGGAGTGCCTGGTTCAAGCCCTGGCAACTCTGCACTGCTCATCCAGTGTCTTGCTGATGTGGCTAAGAAGCAGCAGCTGGTGACCCTGCCACCGATCTGGGAGTTCCAAATGGAGTTCCTGTCTCCTGGTTTTGGCTAGACCCAGGCCTGGGTGTCACGTATTCAGAGACTGAACCGCTAGATGGAAGGTTGTACTCCCCTCTCCAGCTGTTGTGGCCACTTGGGGAGTGAACCAACAGATGGGAGATCTTTCAGTCTGTCCTCTGTGTAAATGTGCCTTTCCAACAAAAATGAATTTTAAAAAGGGGGAAAGCGGGAAACCCCCATACTCATTTGGGGCTGGTAGATGGTGCTGTGTTGCCTTATGTCAGTGGAGTTTTATAGCATCACCAGACACTGGCCCCTCCAGATCACTGCAGGCCCTTCTTGCTTTGCTTATGCCTAAGCTCATCTTGGCACCTTTTCACTTCACAGCTGCCTGCACATCGCACATACTAGTTATTTCTCAAATACACCATCCCCTTCATGTCTCTGACATTCTACTGCTTTTGTAATCCTACTGCCTGGCATGCTGTTGTCATTCTCGGGAACTCCAACTTAATTATCTTCTCCGGTTGTTATTGTAATGTAACAGATGGGACTACATGGATGCAAGGTTAGCATCCCATATAGGCGCTGGCTGGAGTCCCAGCTGCTCCACTTCCAGTCCAGCTTCCCGCTAATGCACTCGTGAGAGCAGCAGAGGATGGGTTCGGTTGCTTGGTT